ATTTCATGGCCTCTTACCATTTAGTAAAGTCGGGGCTCGTCATAGCTTGCTTGTATGTTGCTTGCTCATCTCCATCCATAACTAGGATGTCTTGATCATCGATTAAGACAATACCAAGGTATCTGTCTGGTTGAGATCTTTGCCGTTGCAACCTACGAAGGGTAATAGGTTGAGCATTTACATTTTCTGTTTGATTCTGACCAATCTTCTCAGCTGCTTCCAAAGCACTTAGATTGTCAGTTTTATCAGGTTGACACTGTTGCTCGTCCTCTCGAACTTCGTCGAGTTCAATATTCCTCCCACTTGTCATTTTGGAAAGGTGTTCCTTCTCCAAAAAGACACCATCACGAGCAACAAACACTTTGTTCTTGGATTTATTGTAGAAGTAATACCCTTTGGTTTCTTTTGGATATCTCACAAAGAAACACTTATTCGATTTGGGGTGAAGTTTGTCAGAAATTAATCGTTTGACATATGCTTCGCATCCCCAAATCTTGAGAAAATACAACCTAGGAGGTTTCTTAGTCCATAATTCATATGGAGTCTTTTCAATAGCTTTTGACGGAGCGCGGTTCAGTGTTAGTGCCGTGGTTTGTAGCGCATGTCCCCAGAAAGAGATAGGAAGTTCACTAAGACCCATCATTGATCGAACCATGTCTAACAAGGTTCGATTCCTCCGTTCGGATACTCCGTTCCATTGATGAGTTTCGGGAGGTGTCAACTATGAAAGAATACCATTTTCTTTCAAGTGATCGTCGAATTCATGGCTCAAATATTCGCCACCTCGATCCGATCGAAGAGCTTTAATTTTCTTGACAAGTTAATTTTCAACTTCTTTCTAAAATTCTTTGAATTTGTCAAAGGATTCAGATTTATTCGACATTAAGTAGACATAGCCATATCTATTAATGTTTGTTAACGAAGTTGAATTCTTAGTGGTCTTAGTTTAGGTATCAACTTTTGTCTAATCATATGTAAAACATGCAATTTCCATTGAACATATATTTGCAAGACAATTTTGAAACAACTATTGTCAAAGTCTTACATGCAAAATAACTAGGTGTCCAACACCATAGATCATATTATGTTCAAAAAAGCATGATGAAAAACTAAGATTAGTTTAATTACATGTCATAGACAAAATAGTGCATGCAAGCACGACCGAAAAACCATCTTCGTCGTCTACTTGTCCATGCACCAACACTTGATAAGCTTCTCACTTGGTCCCTGAAAAGGCAACATAAAGTGAGTCATACTTGGTATCTAATACCTATGATATGCTTAATTCACAAGTGTTTAGGAAGATACCTGAGGCAGATGCTCCATTTCTCTCCTCTTCTTCCTTGAAGAGCTTGCATTCTCTTTTGTAGTGGCCTTGCCCACCACAATAGAAGCAACGCATTTTTGCCTTGACCTTGAAATCCCTCCTCCTTGATGGTCTTTTGGTTGCCCCAAATGAGTTGGCTCGGTGAAGTAGCTCCACCACACTCTTCAAAGAATGTGTCTCCTTTCTTTTAGAAATATATGCCCTTAGTGCATCATATCCTGAGTGGAGTGAAGTGATGATGAGTGACATTTATGTCGCTCTTAGAGTAGTCTTTTCTAGTAGTTTTAGTAATAATTCGGTCCATTTTAGTATGTTTTTGCTATGATCCGCCTAGTTCGAGTATTCTACCTTTGTGATGCGTAATGTGGTTTAGGTAGTCTATACTCCCCTCCCCTTTCGTTGTATTACGCTTTGCCTTCTTGTTCCATGATTGTAGGTGTACGCCGTTGATTCGGAGATGGAAGCAACAAGGGCAAAACGGGAAGAATTCTAGACCAGACAAATGGCGGGCGCGCCACCAGAGGAGCGAGCGCGCCACCTATAAGCGCGGGCGCGCCTCCCTTGAGCGCGGGCGCGCTGATGAGCTGGACCAACCATTAAATACCCACTTTGGAGCGGGTGCGCATTTCGAGGAGCGGTCGCGCCATCATTTAACGCGTGGGCGCGCCTGACTGCTGCAGATTCAAATCCTGAATTCAGTCCTATCAACAAAAGGGAGGCAAAATGGCTATCTTGGGACAACATTCTATCATTAGGATATTTTTTAGCATAGAAACCTTGGAGGAGAGCTTTTAAGGAATTTTTCTAGGTTTTTGTTTTAGCCACTTTTGTATTGAACAATATTGAGAGTTTTTAGTGTAATTTCATTGCCTATCAACATTAGTTTTACTCTTAGTGTTGAAGAAGTATCTTTCAACATTGATGTATGGTTAAGCTTGGAGATTGGATGATGTATGGTTCTTTATTTGGATTTCAATGAAGGTTTTGGTATATTTCTCTATTTTCTCTTGTTTTTATGATTTAAGTTTCTACCTTTCTTAGTTTAGTTGATAAAAACCTTGTCTTTCTTACTATTTCATTGGTTAGAATGTTGCTTAGTATGATTGTAGTTGTAGTTATGGATAGTGAGTAGTTTCTTGTTGCCAGGGGTTTGGTGAAGATATGCTTTGAGTTTGATGTATGTTAGGCTAGGTTAATTTGGAATATTTGTGATTAAATCTTCCTTGTGCTTATACTTATTAGCCACTCCATGTTTATGGCCTTATGCATATTGTGGTTGAGTGACTTGAACTAAATCATGACGATAGTGTGATTTAAGAATAGTCATTAGTTGATTGATTATTGCATGACCTTAGTTTGTATGCCTTATGACGATAGTGTAAGTGTATGCTAGCTAGGATAGCTCTTAATCCTGATAGGTGATTAGAGAGTATTCTTTACATTGCCTTGTATGAGTTGCTTGGGTTACATGTAAACCTATTTTCCAATGCCTAACTTCGTTGAATTCATAGCATGTTTGATCCTTGCCCCTAGTGCTTATTTTAATTGTTATTCTATCCCCTTTAGTCATTACTGTACCCACCATAGTTCTTGATCGAACTAGATTAACATTAGGAGATAAATAGCGGTGCTTAATCGTTTCCCTGTGTTCGACCCTTAACTTGCCTCTATACTCTTTTAGTTGCATGTTTAGGACTAAAAATATCATTTGATAGAGGTGTCTTAGTAACGACCTAAAATACCGCCCGTCACATTGGCGCCGTTGCCGGGGAAACGGTTTCCATTGTGTGTTTATTTTCTTGTTGAGACTAGTTCTTTTGTGCTCTTTTGTTTTTCCGTATCTTGTCAGTGCTCACTTTCTGCTTAGCTTTGTATATGCACAGGAGGCTTAATTGCTCTAAGCCTTTGGTGTCCATAGACCTCGAGCTAGAGCGTACTCTGGCCCAATTGAGGAGACAAGCAAGGGAGAGAGGTGTAGACCCACTTTAAGAGGAAGTGAGAAGCTCCCCTACCCCATCTTCACCCACTTCAAGTGAGGAGGGTGAACCATCCATAGGCTCAATTCCCAACCCATTTGCCAATAACCATAATCAACAAAGCATGGCTGATCAAGGAAACATGGGTGATCAAAGGTCACTAAAGCAACTTGGAGCACCCGAACCATATGCCTCTCAAAGTGGGATCTTAGCCCCCACCACTCAAGCAAACAATTTCGAGATAAAGCCTAATTTCATTTCAATGATAGAGAAGAGGCAATTTAACGGTGGGAAATTGGAGAATCCCCATGAGCATCTCAAAGAGTTTCTCAAGTATTGTGACACTATCCAGATCAACGGAGTCTCCCAAGAGTACATAAGATTGAAGATGTTCCCGTTCTCACTCATGGGAGCTGCGGAACATTGTTTGAACAAGGATGTTCCCCCCGGTTCCCTCACAACTTGGAATGAGGTAACTACGGTGTTCCTAGGTAGGTTTTACAATCACAAGAAAACCGCCGAGGCTCGCTCAAAGAGTCAAAGTTTCCGCCAAAGAGGTGGAGAGTCTCTTTGTGAGGCATGGGAGAGATTCAAAGAGCTACAAAGGCAATGCCCACACCATGGGATTCCTAATTGGCAAGTTCTCTAAACATTCTACGAAGGACTCTCCCCTCAAAGCAAGACTAGCCTTGATGCCGGAGGCCCAATCATGAACAAAAGGGAAGATGAAGTGGAGAGTATCATAGAAGATGTTGTGCGCAATTATGAGGATTGGTACAAAGGTGAGAGGGAAGCCACCACTTCTAGCAAAGGAACGGTACAATCCGCCGAGCAAACCAATGCCATCACAAATCTTTCCAACCAAATGGCAAAGATGGCGAAACAAATGGAGGAGTTCATGAAATCAAGTTCTCAAAGTACTTCCTCCCCTTCTCCCAAGGGAGGCCATGGTATGAATCCTTCTACTTCTTCTCCCTCTAATTACAATGCCATGCCTCCCAGTTGTATGTTTCGATATATGTGTGGAGGCTATGATCATAATTCTCAATAATGTATGTCTATAAGTAAAGGTCCCCCTCCCCATGAAAATGATGATAATGTTGAAGATGTTAATGCCATGAATTTTGTGCCCCGTGAGGGAAATGCTAGAATGCGACCGAATTGGAATCAAAACCTAAACCGTGGTTGGAATCAAAACCAAGGTTGGAATCAAAATCAATGGAATCAAAGTGGTGGTGGTTATGATAACCAAGGCCAAGGTAGGGGAAACTCTTCCAATTACACTGGAAGAAGTTACTCAAACCAAAGGCCTAATTGGAATCAAAACCAACATCACTATTCCAACAACCAACAACGTTTTAATTCCAATCAGGGTTCCGGGGGTAATAGACCTCAAAATGCTTCTACTTTCTCACAAAATAGTAGACCCCCCACTTTTGACCAAGTAAGGCCCCATTCTCAAATTCCCCATACTCAACCCCCCCAAATAGAAGCCTCCGGATCCTATGATGACTATGCTTCAAAATTTCATTAAAAATCAAGAAAACCATAATAAGAGTCAAGAGGAAGAAAAGAAACAAATCAAGGCACACATGAAAATGCTTGAGACCCAAATCTCTCAAATTGCCCAACCAAGTTCTTCATCCTTCCCTTCTTAATCTTCTTCTTTACCTAGCCAAGGTGTCAACCCCAAGTCTATGTATGCCATTACTACTAGAAGTGGGAAGATCCTTGAGAGTGATTTAAATGTTGAGAAGAGTTTCGATATGAGGATAGGACTTGAGGTTGAGGATGATTCATCAAGAGAGAGTGAGGTTCTAGAGGGAAGTGCCGGAAAGAATGAGAGGGGTGAGAAAGAGAAAGAGAAGGAAACCGAAAAGGAGAGCACCAAAGATCAAACACCTTTACCCCTTAATCTCCAACCTAGGAATGAGAGGTTGCCTTTTCCCTAAAGATTTGCTAGGTCTAGGCTTGATGTCCAATTTGGAAAATTTTTAGATGTAGTAAAGAGCTTGCATGTTTCTATACCCTTTGTGGATGCTATGAAAGAGATGCCACACTACACTAAATTCCTAAAAGACCTCCTGAATGGAAGGAGAGAAGTCGAAACCGTTAGCCTAACCGCAAATTGTAGTGATATTCTCTCTAGTAAGCTACCAACCAAATTGCAAGATCGCGATAGTTTTTCCATCCCTTTTTCTATCAATGAGGTTCAATTGGGGAAGGCTTTGTGTGATCTAGGTGCTAGTGTGAGTTTAATGCCCTTCTTGGTCTACCAAAAGCTTAATGTGGGAAGTCTTTCACCTATAAACATCACCCTCCAACTTGCGGATAGGTCCACAAAATTTCCTATAGGGAAAGTAGAGGACATACCCCTTAGAGTTGGTAAGTTCACTTTTCCGGTGGACTTTTATGTTCTTGAGATGGATGAAGATGAAAGAATTCCTATAATCTTGGTTAGGCCATTCATAGATACTTCTAAGCAATTATTGATGTCAAAGAAGGTAAGATGACCTTGAAGGTTGACAATGATTCTATCGAATTTGATTTGAATAAGGTAATGAGACAACCTTCCTCTAGTAATGAATGCTTTAGTATAGATACAATTGAAAACTTGATGAATGAGTTTAGATACCCTCATATGCATGCTTCTAATGATCTACTTGAGAATGTTTTGTTGAATGAGAATGAGGTAGGTGATCAAAAGGAGATACAATTATATGAGGAAATTCTTTATGAGAAAGAGGAGACAACCCCCGACCAAGAGATGCTCCAAACATATGAAGTCTTCCAAGTAGAAGAGGAGGAAATCTCCAATGGTATGGGAGCTCCGAAGGTAGAATTGAAACCTCTACCTTTGGGCTTGAGGTATGTCTTTTTGGATGCTAATGATACTTTTCCAGTCATTGTCAATGCTAACTTCACGGAAGAGCAAACCTCCTCATTGCTTAATGTTTTGAAAAAGCATAGGAAGGATTCGGGTTATACTCTTGATGATCTCAAGGGTATATGCCCCTCCCTATGCATGCATAAAATCGATTTAGAGGAGGGTGCTAGGTCGTGTAGGCAACGGCAAACGAAACTTAATCCTCCCATGCAAGAGGTCGTGAGGAAGGAAGTTTCCAAGCTACTTGAAGCGGGGATCATCTATCCAATCGCTCATAGTGATTGGGTGTCCCCGGTTCAAGTAGTGCCGAAAAAGGGAGGTATGACGGTAATGGTCAATGATAAGCAATAATTGGTCCCAACTCGGCTTGTTACGGGTTGGAGAATGTGTATTGATTACCGCCAATTGAATGCTAATACTTTCAAAGACCATTTTCCATTACCGTTTATCGACCAAATCTTGAGAGGCTTACAAAGCATGCCTTTTATTGCTTTCTTCATGGTTATTCGGGATTCTTCCAAATCCCAATTGACCCAAAAGATCAAGAAAATACAACTTTTACTTGTCCCTACGGTAGTTTTGCTTACCGTAGGATGCCTTTTGGTCGTTGTAATGCCCCGGCTACCTTCCAAAGATGCATGATGTCAATTTTTAGTGAAATGATCGAGGAAGAAATGGAAGTTTTTATGGATGACTTTTCCGTTGGTGGAGGCACATATGAGAAGTGCCTAATGAATTTATCTTGTTATTTAGAAAGGTGTGAGAGTGCCAACTTGGTGCTCAATTGGGAGAAATGCCACTTCATGGTGGAAAATGGCATTGTTCTTGGCCATAAAATCTCCCAAGCGGGCATCGAAGTTGATGGTGCGAAGGTTGATGTGATTGAGAAGCTTCCTCCTCCCACAAATGTGAGAGAAGTGAGGTCCTTCCTTGGTCATGCCGGCTTTTACCGCCGCTTCATCAAAGATTTCTCTTTGATTGCTAAGCCTCTCACATCTCTCTTGCAACAGGATAAAGAATTTGTATTTGATGAAGCTTGTCACGAGTCATTTTGTAGGTTGAAAAAGGCTCTTTACACCGCCCCCATAGTCCAAGGACCGGATTGGTCCTTACCATTCGAGCTAATGTGTGATGCAAGCGACGAAGCCATTGGATCGGTTCCAGAACAAAGAAAGGATGGGAAACTTCACGTTATATACTATTTGTCCAAGACTCTCAATGATGCTCAACGGAATTATACAACTAGCGAAAAAGAGTTCTTGGCGGTTATTAACTCATTTGAGAAGTTTAGAACCTACCTCATTGGTTCTAGGACAATAGTGTATACCGATCACTCGGCTCTCAAATATTTGATAAGCAAGAAGGAGGCCAAACCGAGGTTGTTGAGATGGGTCTTGGTCCTTCAAGACTTTGATTACGAAATGAGAGATAAGAAGGGAGCCAAGAACGTGGTGGCGGACCACCTTTCTAGGTTGGGAGGTGCAAGAATACATGAAGACGGTTTGTCAATTGAAGATTCCCTAATGGATGATGTCTTATATGCTCATGAGGCAAAATCGGAGCCTTGGTATGCGGATATTGTGAACTACTTGGCTTGTAGTGCCATACCTCCGAATTTCACTCCTCAACAACATCGAAGGCTCAAGCATGAAGCAAAGAAGTATATATGGGATGACCCTTTGTTTTTGAAGAGAGGGGTGGATGGACTTTTGAGAAGATGTGTTCCTAATGAAGAGTTCCAAGATGTGCTCTCAATGTGCAAATTATCTCCTTGTGGTGGTCATATGAGTGCTCAAAAGACCGCTTCCAAGGTTTTGCAATGCATGCTCTTTTGGCCCTCTCTATTCAAAGATGCTTGGCAATTTGTTAAGACTTGTGATAGGTGCCAAAGGACGGGGAACATATCAAGGCGTGATGAGATGCCCCAAAATCCGATTCTTGAGCTAGAAATTTTTTATGTTTGGGCAATTGACTTCATGGGCCCCTTCATCTCATCCCAAGGAAACTGGCACATTCTAGTTGCCGTTGATTATGTTTCCAAGTGGGTGGAAGCCGTGGCATCTCCCACCAACGACTCAAAGGTGGTCATCAATTTGTTCAAGAAAGTCATCTTCCCAAGATTCGGTGTTCCTAAGGCAATCATAAGTGATGGAGGTTCACACTTCAAGCACCATACATTCAACAAGCTTCTTTCAAAGTATGGTGTATCGCACAAGCGAGGCCTTGCTTACCACCCCCAAACAAGTGGTCAAGCGGAGGTCACAAATAGGGAGTTGAAAGTCATCTTGGAGAAGACCGTTGCTAGAACAAGGAAGGATTGGTCTAGTAAGCTCATTAATTCATTGTGGGCATATAGGACCGCCTTCAAGACTCCTATAGGGACTACCCCCTATAAGCTTGTTTATGGGAAGAATTGCCATTTACCCGTAGAAATGGAGCACCGAACGCATTGGGCAGTCAAACAAATCAACTTTGATCTCCATAGTGCGGGTGAGCAAAGACTTCTAGAGCTTCATGAGTTGGAAGAGTTGAGAATGAACGCCTATGATAGTGCAAGCCTTTACAAAGCAAGAACCAAGGCATGGCACGACGCTCAAATTTCCAAGAAGGAAATTATGGAAGGACAAAAGGTCCTACTCTACAATTCAAGACTCAAGCTCTTCCCCGGGAAATTGAGGTCTAGATGGAGCGGTCCATTTCAAGTATCCAAAGTCTTTCCTTATGGCTCAGTTAAGGTATTTAATGACAAGTACCCTCCATTCAAAGTGAATGGGCATCGTCTCAAGCCATACTATGAGGGTCAACTAATCGAGAAGCCGGAAAATTTATCGCTCATTGATGTTTTCAAATCACCATGATTCTTTTGTGAAGGAAGTCAAGCTAATGACGTTAAAGAAGCGCTTACGGGAGGCAACCCGGTTTCTAACTTTTTATTTATTTATTTTATTTCCTTTGCACACTTGAACTAATCCACCTAACACTCTTCTTAATCAATTGTGATGTAGGTGTGATTGTGTATGTCCTTAGGAAAGAGAGATAAGAGTTGTAGCAAAATGAGAATTAAAAAAAAAAAAAAAAAATTTGAGGAGTTGTGGTCGAATAAAGACCAAAGACAAAGAGCCAGCGCAATTTGGACGCGGCAGAGGAGCGAGCGCGAGTAGAGAAAGGCGCAGGCACTCCAGTTCTTGGGTCACAAATTGCCTTCATTCCAGAACGTAGGAGCGATTTTGTCGTGTCATAGGAGCGGTTCGCATCATCAAAGGAGCGCGGGCGCGCCTGACTCTGTCGCGGGCGCGCCATTTGCTTGGTCTAAAAGGTCTCCGATTCCAGAAAGAAGGAGCGATTTTGTCGCAACTAAAGAGCGGCCCGCGATATCAAAGAGGCGCAGGCGCGCTTAATCAGGGCGCGGGCGCGTCAATAGTTTGGTCTAAATTCCTGGGAGTTGGAGCGATTTTGTCGCGATTTAGGAGCGGTCCGCGTGTACACTGAGGCGCGGGCGCGCCTGTATTTGTAGCGGGCGCACTTTTCTGGGTTTCAGAAAAAAAAATACGGCTTCGTCTCTTAATTCCTCACAAACTCCCTCAACCCTCACAAACATAACCCACCTCCCTCTTACCTTTCTCTCTCTTCGCGGCCGCTCCTCACCACCCATACTCAAGATCCGTTGCCACCATCTTCTACCATCCTTATAAATCAATCATCCTCAAAGCTTCAATCATTCATCATCATCAATGTTTGTTCATCACCACAGAAAGCAAATAAGTATCCTCAACACCAACCGCAACGAACTTCTTTGCTACTCAAAACCTTCAACAATTCGACACCAAAGTAGCAATTTATTCGCATAAAGGCAAAGGTATTCAAATTCCTTCGTTAATTATTCTCTTTTGATTAATTTTAAAGCAAGGATTTTGGTTATCTTAGGTTATTATCGAGATTTCGTTAATTATTGTTGAAAATATTGTTGGATTCTGTTGAAATTGTTGTTGGATATATTCGTTGTGTTGGTTAGACTATTATTGCTTGTAGACAGGTACATTGTGGTTTTGTGGAGGTTAAGGGTGGAAATAGCTAGGAGTTGGCTTTGAAAAAGGAGTGAAAACAGGAAAAAAAAAAAGAGAGGTGGGTAGTCATGAATCTAAGGATTGGGAAGAAGAGAAAAACCGCAAAGTCGGGGCAATCGTCCCAAAACACAAAGTCAGACCAACCCAATGTCTTACCCACCATAAAATTCTTAAACAAAAGCCACTCCTTCATATACTCTGACATGAAATACGAAAGTTACGACCTTCTAGGCACTACCATCGTGGAGACATGATAAAACTTGGGTTAAATGACGATTTGTGGATTCTTTTTGACAACCTTCGACTAGGGTCATTCGTAAACTCTTTATTCATGACCTACCAAGAACCCACCTTAGAGCTTTTCTCGTCTTTTCAAGTTGACACACTAGAAGACAACGACTTTCGGATATCTTTCCAACACTTCAACAACCCCCACACCATGTCACTGGCACAGTTCAACCAAGCCCTGGACTTTCACTCAGATGCAGACCTCCTCTACCCGCTCTATGAGAACTTTAGAGAGTATAGTGAGTACGCTTGGTGGCGTTCCATTTCAGGTAAAAATGAGTTTCATACCAGTACTTCCATAGCCAGTGAGATTTGGCACCCTGTCCTTAGGATCCTACACCGTTTATTAGGGTATTCTATCATTATTTAACAGGACCTAGGAAAACTGACTAAGGAAGAGGTTCTTTGCCTGTGGATAGCCACAAAGGAAGAGCATGCACGGAGGTTGAATTTGGGATTCCTCTTTATGCAAACTTGCCAAGCCATAACAAAGGGAAAAAAGCCAGGGGAGATACATTGCGGGGCGATGGTCACTAGATTGGCCACCAAGTTAGGTTACACTAACCTTCAACCTCTATGCATGGCCCTAGGTAGTAGTGGGGATATTTACCTTGATTAAGACCAGCTTCGCCGCTCTGATTTTATTACTCCCACGACAAACCCCAATGCTTTTAGGTGGCTAGTTAGAGGAGCCCACCATTGTTTCTTCCCTAAGCCTCACTTCACCTCCTTCACGCGTCAGTCCTCTAATGTGTGGGGAGTTTAGAGAGATAGCGGGCGAGTGCCCGATGTTAATGGGGATGATGACGTAGGGATAGGTAATGAGGAGGAGGTTCAGGAGCAGCAGCAGCAGCCGGTTACCCAGCAACCCACAGGTACAGGTTCATTTCAGCTATCTGACATAGCTAGACAATTGCAAGTGATTTATGAGTCACAGCAAGGCCACCATCTGCAACAGCAGGCCCTCTATGACTCAGCTGCGGATAGAGGTGAGATTGC